ATACAGTGCTCGCTTCGGCAGCACATATACTAAAATCAGAATATACTCTATACAAAGAAAATACACCATTATTTAAAATCAGAAAAATAGAAGTCAAACTAGCTCTATAAAAATAAAATTAGTGACATACCTATACTATTAGTAGAACTGCACCACATAAGCAGGAAGCTGGTACATATCAAGTTTATTACACCAAAGAGCAGTATCTTCCAGGACTGTGAAAAGCAAAATCACTGTTATCTGTACAATGCTAATCCAGTTCACTGGGCCCATTCATGTTGCTGTAATTCACTCTAAGAATAAGCAGAACTTCCTTCAAAAACCTGGCCAGGTCACTGGTGTGGTGCTGTACACCTATCATACTAGCACTCAGGAGGCTGAGGCAAGAGAATACTGAGTTCAAAACCAGCATGGGCTACAGAGCGAATTCAAGACCAGCCTAAACTACATAGCAAGACCCTGTCTCAAAAAGAAAATCTCTATCTACCATGATTACCATCAACTAAATTATTATTATTATTTTTTTTTTTTGGTGGAACCGGGGATTGAACTCAGGACCTTGGGCTTGCCAGGCAAGTGCTTATTCTACTGAGCCATCTCCCCAGCCCCTATTATAATATTATTATAAAATACAAATCCAAAAGAATAATTTAAGAAGGGGAAATTTTAAGAGAAAATAAACCTTGACAAAGAAACTCCCAAATAGCTGAGAAAAACATGCACGTTGATCATTTTTTTTCTCCATAAATCTGTATGTAAAGGGGCTGGAGAGATGGCTCAGTGGTCTAAAGCACCTACTTGGAACAGGCTTGGCAAAGGGACCACGGTTCAATCCCCCAGCACCACATGCCAGCCAGCCGCGCCCCCTGGTGGGCTGAGCTGGCCACACACACACACAAAATAAATAAAAAAATAAATAAATATTTAAAAAAAAAAAGTTAAAATAAAAAAAAATCTGTATGTAAAGATAATGCTAAAGCAAATGAAGCAAAATGTTTGTAACTGGTAAACCTGAGTAAATGGCTTGATGGCATTCCTTGTCTCAATCTTGTAATTTTTCTTAATTTAAAAATTACATCTAACGAGCTAATCCCCGGTTCTGCCAAAAAAAAAAAACAAAAAAAAAAAAATTACATCTATTCCTGGGCTGGGGAGATGGCTCAGTGGAATAAGCACTTCCCTGGCAAGTGCAAGGGCCTGAGTTCAATCCCCAGTTCCGCCAAAAAAAAAAAAAAATTACATCTATTCCAACCCAGACTGATATACCCTGCAAAACTCTCTTTCAAGTTTAATGGAGAAGTGAAATACTTTCATGACAAAGAATTACTAAAGAATTTCATGATGACAAAGCCAACCCTACACAGACTACTAAATGATATTCTAGAGAGGGATCAAAATGACCACAACTCCATGAAAGAACAGAAAGAACCCACCAAATAGGGCAAACAATTACACACAGGAGAAAAAGAGATATTCAACAGCAGTCTTGCAATTATTCTGCTGTATACAGCAGCAAAATATTTCCATCAGCATACTCTACAAATGGACTTCTCCTGCACCCTAAGGGTAATGATTCTGTCTGGTTTTGCAGGGTGGATATCAAGGAAATAGCAGTAGCTCAGTCCCGCAAGTGACACCTGGCCACCAGTAAGCGTCATGGACACTGTCCACGTCCAACACATTCTAGAATTTTGTGAGATATCCTATCCCCAAACTGTGAGAAGTGCTGGTCATATATTTGCCATTCCAGTATTTTTGTTATGGTTTATTCTTAGTAATTCTTTATACCATTAAAACATTTTCTTAGTTGATATTTTTGTATATATTAACCTAATCAAATACTGTGTGAGTATTGTGAATTGATCACAGATTCATACATATGATACACTACATTCTGGCCTCTTAGTTGAACTCACAATTAATTTTTATTTTTGAATATAATTTTGAAATATTTTAAAAAATAATAAAATGCAATTACATCTAAATACTTATCAAAAAAAGGCAGTACTTTGGACTGGGGATATAGCTCAGTAGCCCAAGTCCTGAGTTTGATTCCAGGTACAAAACAAAATAAAACGTAAAAAGGCAGTACTTACTTTACCAAGTAAGTCATATAAAATAGGTCTGCAAAAGAGAATATTTCAATAGCTTAAAAGTTCATAGAAGACAGAAAACTTGACATAAACCTTGAAAAAAAGGATATAGTCAGAGAAAGAAAGGAGGGCATTCCAAAATAATGAAAGAAAAATCTGAAAGGGGTGAAGGTCTGGTATCTGGGAGAGAAACCACGACAACAGTGCAAATGTTCTGGAGCGTGAGTACCTGCAGGAAGACAGCTAGATCCCTGTGGAAGGAGTCTGGGGGGACATCATAAAGTGCTTGTATGATAAAAGAAATACCACTTATGACAAATAAAAATGGTTGGGCATGGTGGTGCATGCCTGTAACCTCAACACCCGAGACACTGAGGTAAAAGGATCATATGAATTCCAGGCCAGCCTGAGTTGTACAGTTCAAGGCCAGCAAGATGCTATCTCAAAAGCAACAATAACAAAACAACAAATAAGACTGAAAGTGACATAGTTTACATTCTGGCATCTTTATCAACAAGGGAGCACAGAAAGGTATGGAAGCCACTAAGAATGTGGCTATGGGCTAGGTGTGGTGGTAATCCCAGCAACCAGAAAGCTGAGGCAGGAGGAATGCCACGAGGTCAGCCTGGGCTACATAGTGAGTACAGGGTCAGCCTAAGCTTAAAAAGAATGTGGCTGCCATAATCCAAGTGAGAAATGATAGTACTTTGGTAGTGGCTTTGAAGGCAACAAACATGTTAGAAGAGTCTGGCCATTATGCTGAAAATAGAGCTAGCAGATTTGCTTATAAAATACATCTGTGGAATGAGGGAAGAAAAGGCATTTAAAATGACTCCAAGTTTTCTGGTCTAAATATCTGGAAGAGGGGCCAGCTAATGAAGAAGCGACTGAAGATTACAGTTCAGATTTGACTATTTTATGTTTGAGGTGTCTATTAGATATCCAGGCGGAAATACTGACAAGGCCACGATGCACAGCAATCAGAGTTGGGGAGAGGCTAGAGTCTGAGATATATATGGTGGCATCAGCATATCAATGGCAGTGACAGTTATGGGACCAGATGGTATTCCCAGATGTAAAATTAATGTGCAAGTAAATATGGACAGAACCAAGAATGAGGGTTGAGGATTTCCTAGGGAAGCCCGATGGAAGGAAATGCAGTAGAAAGGAGGTGAGGGCAGAGAATGATAATGATAGGCTACTGAATAACTTGGATAGAAAAACAAATAAAGGGCAGGCAGGAATGAAGCTTAGTGGTAAAGCACCTGCCTGGGAAGCGTAAGGTCCTGAGTTTAATTCCCAGCAACAAAAAAGAAAGAAGGAGAGGCCAGGGAGGTACCTCAGTAGATTAAGCACTTGTCTGGCAAGCACAAGGTCCTGAGTTCAACCCCCAGTACCACAAAAATAAAAGAAAGGAAAGAAGGCAGGTAGGGAGGCAGGCAGGCAGGCAAGCAAGCAAGCACAGTGACACTAACACTGGAACCAGATGATCTGATAACCAAGGTGGTTACTAAGTGACTAAGGTACTTAGTACACACTGTACAAAGGGATGGTCCAAGTCTCAGCCTGGGACAGAGAAGGACACTGAGAAATTCCATCATGCTACTCAGAATGGTGCAAAATTTAGAACTTAATGAATTGTTTATTTCTGGAAAGTACCAGTTAGTAGTTTTGAACTGCAGGTAACTGAGTTCATGGAAAGAGGAAGAGCAAATGGGGGATTACTGCAATTTTTTCGCCTACTACCTGCTCTAGTTACGTGCTTCAGTAAAGCACATGGTTAAGATAAGTGTTTTCCATCAACAGCACAGAGCTGTATGTATCTGTTCTAAGAGGTCAAACTAAGGGGATCAGAATCTAAGAAACAGATGATTTCTCTAATTTTCGATCTTTAATATGAAGGGCATGACAATACTTCCAACTGAGTTCTAACTATAGCCCAAGATTTTAGAAACCAGGGAAATAAGACTAAATAACTAAGAAAAGCACAAAACCAATGGCACTAATAGTACTTACTATACTCCATCAAAACTGCCTTTAGGGGGCCTGGCCCTAGCTCAGGCCTTTAAGCGGCTGCTTCCACAAAGCTGTCAGCCTCAGGTTGCTGGAGTTCGAAACTCACACCTCTCCCGCTGGCCAAAAGTGCCCTGAAGGCATTGGAGGAACCAAAAAAAAAAAAAACTGCCTTTATATAAATCTATTAATGAAGGACTGGTGAGACAGCTCAGGGACCGGGGCTCGATCCCTGGCATCACATGCCACACCGGCCCTGCCCCAGACTCGCCACCAAGACCAGGCATGGTGGCACACATCTGTAATCCCAGGGATGGGGAGGCTGAAAATAGGAGGATCACTGTGAGTCTGAGCTGCACAGTGAGACTCTATACCAAATACATAAAAATAAATAAGTAAAACCACTAAATATACATTGGGTGCATATTTTATATGCCCATTAAAAAGTGAGCATAACAGTCATAGTCATTGCCTTCACAGAATCTGCAATTCAGACAATACCAGAAGAATGAAAATAGCATAGTTAGGAGCTTTATATAAGTAGCCCAAAGGGCTACCAATTACATCTTTTTATTTATACCATCAAAACATGATATAATTTTCTTGCTTGAGAAAATATGGCTTGGGCCAGGGAGATAGCTCAGTGGCATAAGCACCTGCCTGGCAAGTGCTAGGTCCTGAGTTAAATTCCTGGTACCAAAAAAAAAAAAAAAGAAAGAAAAAGAAAAAGAAAAAAGAAAGAAAAGAAAAACCATGGCTTCATGGCTTAAGAGTACATTCTTTTAATTTTTTTTTAAAGTATTAATAAAAATGGAGTTTGGGGAGGATTACAGGTTAGCTCAGTTCTTTAAAGCGCCTACTTGGGGAAACCCAAGTCAGGCACAGAGGACTGGGGTTCGATTCACAGCTCCACAAGCTGTACCAGACCTGCCTTAGGCAGGCTGAGCTAGCCAAAACAAAACAAAACAAAACCAAACTTCTCCAATAAAAATGGAGTTTGGTGCAGTGGTACACGTCTCTAATCCCACCACTTGGAAGGCTGAGGCAGGAGGATCGCTGTGAGTTTGAGGCCAGCCTGGACTACACAGTAAGTTCAAGGCTAGCCTGTACTATACAGCAAGACTCCATCTCTAAAAATAAAAAAATAATAAAAATTTAAAAAAGCAACTATAACAAAAAGCATTCTCTTTGAAACACTTCAGAATTAGATAACTTTTAACTGACCTTGTTTCTTCCCACCAGAGCAAAACAAATGAACACCAAAACAATAATCTTACATTAAAAAATACTTATCCAACAAGGAACAATAAAAACTGCAGTAGGATCACTAGCAAATTTTTTTTTTTTTTTAATGTATTAGTACAGGCTCCACAGGGTCTCACTACACAGATTGGACACTAGTAATTCTCCCATTTTCAGCCTCCCAAGTGCTGGGTTTACAGGTGCGTGCCACCATGTCCAATCTCAGTTGCTCGTCTCAGCATACCCTGGAGGTGAGGCTGGCACCAATAACAGGATCTGCCTAAGCAGGGGCTTTTTTTTTTTTTTTTTTTTTGTAGGACTGGAGATTGAACTCAGGACCCTGCGCTTGCCAGGCAAGTGCTTATTCTACTGAGCTATCTCCCTGGGCCCTAAGCAGGTGCTTTAATCCACTGGCCAGCCCTACAATTTTTTTTTTATTTTTTTATTTTATTTTATTTTTTAAATTATTTATTTATTTATTTATTTTGTCCTGTCAGAGGTGAATATTCTATTGGCATCTAAATACTATAAGTGCCAAACAAATGTTTATTTATTTATTTTTTTTATTTATGCGTGTGTGTGTGTGTGTGTGTGTGTGTGTGTGTGTGGCCAGCTCAGCCCACCAGGGGGCGGGGCTGGCTGGCATGTGGTGCTGGGGGATTGAACCGCGGTCCCTGTGCTTTGCTAAGCTTGTTTTAAATAGGTGCTTTAGACCACTGAGCCATCTCACCAGCCCCGTACAATTTTTTTTTTAAAAAGGTGCCAAAAAGTTTATTTGAAAAGCACAGGGTAAATGGGTATAGGGGAGAAACCAGCTCTACAGAGCAAACTTGAGCCAAACAAAGGGAAAAAGAGGATAAAAGCAAAAATAAAGTATATGGGCTATTGTGGAAACTCATGAATGATAGCTAACACCAATTTCTTTTTTTGGTCAGAACCAGGGATTGAACTCAGGCCCTTGCGCTTGCCAGGGAAGCGCTTATTCCACTGAGCCATCTCCCTGGCCTCACCAATTTCTATTAATCTTAAAACTTACCAATTTAAATTGAGGTTAAGAAATAACTTACCCTTCGGTCAGCTGCTACAAGTCTAAATTCCTGTAGTAACTTGCCAAAAAAGGATCTTTGTGGTTTTCGAAAGAGATGAATTGTCCCCTTTAAAACAAAAAGAAAATATACAAATCAGCATCTAAGTATGTAATCTTCACAGTACCTGTTATGTTACATTACTAATATTTATTATCTCAATATCCAATAATACATGCCAACCACTTTCCTAGACACTTTGTATATATAAATAATACAAAGACCCTACAGGGTAAAAATAATTTTCAGTAAATTTTTTTTTGGTACCAGGGATCGAACTCAGTACCTTGTGCTTGCCAGGCAGGCACTTGGTGCTGAACTATCTCCCCTTACCCTTTTAGTAACTCTTCTAAAGTTACAAAGCTAGTAAAGAGCTGAGCAGGAATTGAAATATAGACATTTTAGCTCCAGTTTTCTTTTTGTTTGTTTTTGTTTTTTGTGGAACCGGGGATTGAACTCAGGCCCTTGTGCTTGCCAGGCAAGTGCTTATCCTATTGAGCCATCTCCCCAGCCCTAGCTCCAGTTTTCTTGTCTTTATTTTTAAATAGATTAAGCAACTTAAACCAGAAGAAACAGGGGGAAACATAAGGAAACTTTACCAAAGAGCTCTACTCAAAATAAAATGTCACCTAATTAAAACGAAATGTATCTCAGTAACTACTTTAAAGATAGTAACATGCAATGCATTTGCTATTGTTATTCTCCTATCATCTTATGAAATCTTTTTCACATGTCCCCCCTCAACTAGGGATTGAACACAGGTCCTCTTGCTTGCCAGGGAAGAGCTTATTCCACTGAGCCACCTCCCTGGCCCCTGTTTACCTGTAAAATTTTTTAAAAAGCAAAATGAAATATATGAAAGTTTGGACAACTATGATAATAAAACCTCTAAGGTTCTCACTTAGGCATTCAGGCAAAGTATCTTGACACCCTAGGAATCTCTAGGAGTTTATATTTGAAGAAAGTACGGCTATATAATTTTGTAATACTGGAGTTGGGGATGCAGTAGTAGAGACAGAAATCTTTATATGTTCGAGGAAGGCCACAGAGGGTACTGTGTGTGTTATTGTGTTAGTTACTCTTTTCTCGTTGCTAGGACAAATACCTGACACTCAAAATGTGGGAAGGAAAGGTTTATTTAACTCACAGTTACTGGGAGTTTCATGTTTAAAACAGCCTATATTACGTAGCAAGACCTTGGAGCCTTATTTGCTCAGGAAAGAGGGTCGGTGCCTCTGTCTTCTCCAAGCATCTCTCTGCCCGAGCGAGGCGGCCTCAATCACAGACACCACCCACCTACACTACAGGGTCTTGGGTGGAGGCTAGGGTGCTGCCTCATCCAGGATGACCCCTTCCACACCTTCAGAGAGACCACACCTGGGGGGGAAGCGCAAGACGCCAGTTTAATGGTTCTGTTACTCTGGCCCAGCCCCTCGAGCCCTGCCCTGGTCCTCTGGCCCCACCCCTCGCACCTCTTGCTGCTCCTCCAGCAATTTACATGAGGCTTGGGGGGGACAACTAGACACAAACCATAACAGTTATAATTAACTGAATTTGTTTACTGGTAATAAGGAACAATGCCAAAGAACTATGATTACTAACTGCTTCAGTTATCATTCAAAACTACTTAAGCCTTCACAGGCTGAAAAGTTTGGTCTGATCTTTTCTCGTTTGCAGATTTCCAAAAGCAAAACTCCACAGCTTTTTTGAGACACGGTCTTAAAGTTATATAGCTCACACTGGCCTTGAACTCACTATACAGGCCACGATGGACTGCAACACCTGCCTCAGAGGAGGCCATCACACCTGGCTTACAGCTACTTTTAATCAGACAACTTTGTCACACCAAAAGCAAGTAATTGTTTCTAAGACAAAATTTTCTTCACAGTTGTCAGTGGGTCAGGGAATAATTTGATCATTAACTGCTACATACTTTAAAATATTTGAATTTTTTACAAGACATTTTCTTTGATAGCAAAGGTGACAACCAAAATGTACTTCTGACTCACTGAAGCTGGGCAATTTGACTAGAAAACTGAAGCCCCAGAAAAGTACAGTGGAACCAGGGTAATTATGACTGAAAAAGTTTCAGATTCAATTCAAGCAGAGGCATGATCTTCCTACGTAGAGATTTTAGTAGTTATAAGAAGGCATATCTCATTTTTACAAACCTTAGACATGCCATTAGTTGCATTAAAATCCTGGGAAGGCAGAATTATGACAAATGAAGGGCCAGCCAGATAGCTCAGAGGATTAAAGCACCTGCTTAGGCAGACACGAAGACTGGATTTGATCCCCAAAGTGCCTGCCGGGCCCCACCCTTGGGGCGAGCAATTGAGACTAGGAGTGGTGGCAGGCACCTATAATCCCAGCACTTGGGAGGCTGAAAACAGGAGGATCACTGAGTCCAATCTGTGTAGTGAGACCCTGTACTAAATACATTAAAAAAAAATTATGACAAATGAAAAACAGTATCAGAATGTGAAAAATTCTCAATGCCAGGCCAGGTGTACAGAGGAACTCACTGTTTCAGTTACTTTACCTCTTTGCTTGAAATCATCGTAAGACACAGTAAATCGAGGCTTGCTTGCTGGCACAAACCCATAATCCTAGCACTCAGAAGGCTGAGGCAGGATAGTCACCATGAGTTCCAGGCCAGCCTGAACTACAGCTTGAGACTCAGTTTACAGGAAAAACACTGCAGCAAAAAACTTTTAAAAAGAAAGATAAACCACAAAAGTGTGGCTAAGTCTGAAATCCAAGTAAAGACTAGGGGGCTGGGGAGATGGCTCAGTAGAATAAGCGCTCACCTGCCAAGACTAGTGTTTATGTAATCCTAAAGCCATGATAAACTAATCCAATATAAAAGGAACAATGTTATTTTCATGTAAGGTGTTAATAAATGTTAGTATGTTCTTAAGTAATTATGTGTGAAGCTAGGGAGATAGGTCAGTGGCATAGGCACCTGCCTGGCAAGTGCAAAGTCTGGAGTTTGATTCCCGGTACCAAAAAAAAAAAAAAAACAAAGGTGATGTGCGAACTATTTTGATTTCAAGGATACAAAATGCTACTCAATAATTGTGATCTTTTGATAATTTCTGTTTAACTTCAGTCTTCATTTAAGTTTCAAGATTAAAACACTGGGAGAAAAGAAAAAAGTTAAGGACCTATAAGGGTCATACTAATAAGGAATGGAAGTAGGGGATAATGAACAATACAAATGGAACAGCATATTAAAAATGTCCCAGTCACACAGCATGTGCTGCAAACAATTCATCATAGCTCAGTAGAAATGAATTCTGTGTGTTTGTGTGTAGGAGGTTGTAAACGTCAAGATGCTTGAGTATGGGTGTTTTTGTATGCAATACTAAACAGTGGTGTTGCTGACCATGTGTACCCAAAACCCCTGCACTTGGGAGGCTGAGGCAGGAGCATCACCATGAATTTGAGGCCAGCCCGTGCTGCATAGTGAGTTCAAGACACACCTGAACTATATAAGGAGACCCTGTCTCAAAAAACAACAAAACTCAAACAAACAAGAAAGTGATGTCTTGAGGGATACAGAAACCAAATGGAAACACTTTAAGCAAGGGAGTAATAAAGTCAAATATAATAGTGTGTGTCTATATATGTGTGTCTATCTATCTATCTATCTATATCTATATCTATATCTATATATTTCCCCCCCCCAACCAGGGACTGAACTCAGGCCCTTGCACTTGCCAGGGAAGCGCTTACTCCACTGAGCCACCTCCCTGGCCCAATAGTATATATTGAAGCATACTTTGGGAAAAGCATAGCTGGATGCTGTGCTAAACCTAAACCCCCCAAAATAAAGTTTCACCCACTTTTCTTGTCTGCAAAGGATTATAGAAAATTTACAAAATTCGACCATATTCACTTAAGGACAAGATTCTTAAAGCGAGTAGTACTAAGACGCAGAAATATAGCCCCCTTCCTTTTCAGCTACCAAAAAATGCTCAATGAATTCTTATTCTGATAATTTCAAGAAGTGCACAGGACTTTGATATCTGAAATAACTATCTCTTAATATCACATAGAAGTGAAAGAGGGACAGACATGGTTTCTAAAGACCCCAAATGACTAATTCCTCTAATGAATTTTTGAAAGAAGACATCCCAGCAACCATAACGGGTACTGGGATCTTTCAATAGTTTCCACAAACACAGCAGCAGTGAGGCGTTCTCCCAACACCTTAACTCCGTGTAACGCCTAACTAACGGGGCCTTAGGGATGGCGCTGCCTTATCAAGCCACCCGCCTTTCAATAAGCCCAAGCAGAGGAGCGGGTCATCTGCCTTAAAACCCGACTCCTGGCCTCGTTTCGGGCGGCATTATTGCCGCCGCACTAAGCATCCTCCCAATACAGCAGACGTTGTTGCTGCGGACTTGCTTTCAGGTCTTTTGTTAGTGGTGTAACGGTGATGCCGTCTGAGACTTTTATTTTCACAGCAAGGAAATCTCAACAGAGGATAAGTCATAAATTCTTCAGCCCAGCCAGAGGCGGGAACGGGATCCCCAAAAGCCAGGAACCGGGTGAGGGACAGAGGGTTGCGAGTGAGCTGTGAGGAACCATTTGGGCGACAGTTCTCCGAAGGACCCGACCGCGACTCCGATGACCCCTCGCTGGGCCGCTGAGGCATTCTGAGGCCGATTCGAGACAAGACAGGGTCAAAGGCACCACCTATGACGGGATCCCTCATCCCCCGACACCCAACTCACCATGATAAGGAGCCACAGCTCCCGCCGGAAAACGCTCTGGGGGCTCGTTTTTCTCCAGTGCGGAAGGGGCGGGCCCTTGGGGCCCATTGGCGGCAAGGCGCGCGAGGGCGGAAGTGCGTGTCTGGCCTCGGGCCCCGCCCCCTTCCCGGCTTCCCCTGCGTCTGGCGGAAGCGAGGACTGCGGCTGGAGCAGTTCCAGCGGTGGCCGGGTGGATCTACACGTGACTTGATCCCCTGAGGCCGGTAGCACGGAGCAATTAGGGTTTACTTGAACGTTGGGAAAATTGTGCTAACTGCTAAAATGCTTTTACTTACGTTGTGTGGATTTAATCTGACGGAAAGAATAGTGATCCCGTTTAACAAGTGAAACGTGAAAGTTAAACTTGCCTAGTCATGAATCTAATTTGCCTTTATAGTTTTAAGTGGAATTTGGAATGTCTAATTGCAGGGTATTTCGATCTACCCCAAAATGTTTAAAGGGTCTAACAATGTTAATTTTATGATAAAGTAATGTTAACTAGAAAAAACTTGGAAAACAAATATTCGTTAAAAAACAATTTGGCATGTGTGTACAAGGTAATGGTCTTGTAAAACATATTCCAGGAAGAAGAAACGGGATAGGGCAGGTACCAAAACTTTTAAAAAATGTTTAGAAGTAGTATCAGGTCGGAAGGAGGACAGTACTTGCCGGGCGTGGTGGCTCCTAGTGGTAATCCCAGCATTCTGGAGGCTGATGCAGGAAGATCATAAGGAGTTGGAGATCAGCCTACACTTAATAGACCCTATTTTAAACAAAGCAAAACATCCCTCGTGGTGGGGCGCCCCTGTAATCCCAGCACTAGAGAAGGCCAAACTGAATTGCGTACCAAGATCCTGTCTCAGAAAGCGGGAGAGGGGGTGGGGGAAGGACTGTTACAAAGATTAACTGGGCGGGTCATTTACATAAAGTGCTGCTCAGGGAAAGTTTCTCTAAGGGGATGAAATTGAACAATGGCAAAAAAAAACCCAAAACAACAACAACAACAAAACCCTCAGATTTTTTCACCGAAGTAAAAAACAAGTAGGTTTAAGGCTGGATGTAGAGGTGCTTGCCTGTAACCCCAGCACTTGGGAGGCTGAGGTAGGAGGATCATTGCAATCGTTGTGACTCTGCCTCAAAAATAAAATAAAACAGCAGGCCTGTAGATCCACCAAGAAAACAAAACAGGCTCTCCAGTGTCCAAGAGGAGCATTAGGGGCCCATTGGCTGCAAAAAAAACCCTAATATATTCAGTCCCCTGTTCCACCAAAATAAAACCAAAACCGTAAAATGCAAAATGTGGAGTACTGTTTCTTCCGAATGTGTATTCTCACACCATAGAAAAGTGGAAAAAAGAACCAGGGAGGGCCTGGTGAGATGGCTCAGTGGTCTAAAGCGCCTACTTAGAACAAGCTTAGCAAAGCACAGGGACCGCGGTTCAATCCCCCAGCACCACATGCCAGCCAGCCCCGCCCCCTGG